ATGCTGATCTCCACAGGAGTGCACTCAGCTCAGCAGGTCACGTGGCTAAGGGCACGGTTCTGGAAATGGCACCCCCTGGCTCACAGCCTGGCCCTGCCACCGAGTAACTCTGTCAGCTCCTCTAATGCTCCATCCATAAAGAGGGACTAACACCACCTTTCTCGGGACAATTAATGGGATAACAGGTACAAAGTCCTCAGATAGTGCCTGGCACGGGCAAGCTCTGGCTCAGTGATACCTGCTATTCCTGGCCACATTCCTACCCCAAAGAGACACTCCTAGCTTTCTGTCCCCTTCACTCCACCACCAAAAAAGGAGAGAACTGCTGTGAAAGAGAATAGGGACACAAGGACTCAGCAGGGCCAGCGGCTGAGAGAGGCGCTCCCGGGAGGAGGAACAGAGGTGAATAATACGTGAGAATGACTTTTCCTTTCTGAAAAACAGAATTTGGGGGCTCTTCCTTTCCCTCCTCTTGCCATGTTGGCCCTTCATTTTATCTGAGGGCGCATCTCACTCCTGTGGCAACACCTCAGTGCCTCCTTCCTTTTGGGAGGAAAGGTCCAGCTTCCCCGCCCTTCGTGACCAAACAAGAAGGGGAGGACGCAGGCACTTGACTCTAGGTGAAGGCCCCCACTGGCCCCCTTTTATACACAGACCTGCCCATTTCTCCAGGGAGGAGAACCATATTACGAGTTGGGGGCTGACTCCCTAACTTGCAAAAGTGTGAGTCCTCTTTGTGGAGATTCTGAGGATCCTAATGGGGGCAGCTGTCATCAAGAAAGCCACCAAAAAGAGATTCTAAATTCAGAGCTCTCCACCCTGCTCAGCCGGCAAGGCAACCACCCAGCGTGCTTCACCTGCTGAGGCTGTGGACTGGGCTGAAGGTCGAAAAGAGTAACTAGAACAGGGCTTGGCACACAGGTGACTGGGGTGCAATAAATATTTGTCTGATGAATAAATGAATGGGACAGAATGCTGGAAAAAATAAACCTGTTTCCAGTATGATAGGAAATCTCAACCCAAATCCAATCCGTACAAGTAGACTTGATTTAATATCTGTATGAATTAATTATTGTTACGAATGAATTAACCATCCCACTAAAATACTCTATAAAAGTGTGCTGCACCAGCTAAGGTCCCCTCCAAGCATGGTACCTTAGCCAGGAAGCCTGGGTTCACTCCAGCTCATGCTAATCACAAGCTTAACTCCGAGCTGTGGTTTCCATTATTATGGGAACAATGATGTCTGCCCTAACTACCTCACAGGTATACTGTAAAATCCTGAGAAAACAGATGTGAAAGCGTTTTCTAAACTATCAAGTGCAACACTCAAAGTCTCACTATAATATATTATCATTCCCCCAGGACTTGCTCACTCTACCCACCTAGAATCTTCTCCAACCCCCTTTGCCTGTGCAAATCTTTCCCGTAGTTCAAGGTCTAGGCTTTGCAGAGCTCTCCAGGTTACCAACTTTGCACCTGCTGTTGCCCTGATGGTTCGCGTAGAGAGGCAGTGCGGGGGGCGGGGGGGTGTTCAAACCAGGCAGACCTGCACTGGGCCCCCACCTGTAGCACCCAGTCCTTGAGAGACGTTTGGTGGGGTACCTTAACCTTTCTCACCTCGTCTACACTCTGAGGAGGATGATAATTCACACAGATTTGCTGTGAGGAGCGAAGTGCTCAATTCAGTGCCTTGCACAGTTATGCTCAAACAACCATAGCTGTCATGATCACTGATTTAAAAAAAAATTTTTTTTTTTTTCGTAGAGACAGAATCTCATCACCTTGTTCAGGCTAGACTCCAAGTGTTGGCCTCAAATGACCCTCCTGCCTCAGCCTCCCAAAGTGCTGGGGTGAGCCGCCGTGCCCTGACGAGTGCTGTGTCCTGCTCCTTAGTCATTTCCTATCTCCCTCCCAACTGGGTTTTAATTCTTGAGAGCAGGGCCCCCTTCCTATGCATTTCTGCGACCATCCCTGACCTTACTTTCATTCTAGAAAAGTGCTGAGTTCATAGTATTTTCACAAAATGACACTCATTGAATTCATTAAAATGAATTGTTTTCCTCCCAACAGTGCTCAAATCTTTATTGTAGTCCCATCTCGGCCAGCTTGAGAAAGTCAACGCCCACAGGGTAAAGTAACCTCTTTTGACCCTATTATCAAATTAAAAATGTGTGAGGAATTCCCAAAGCACTTAGCCAAGCCACTCGTACTCCTGAGCTGCCCTGTCATGCTGGATATGCTACAGGAGTTAAGAGCCTAAAAATATTCCAGAGACTTGATGGGGGAACCTCCACCAAATTCTGGAATACTCTCTTCCTAGAACATAAACTTTAGTCTTATAAAGCAGATAGTATCAAAGATAACACGGATGTCTGAACGGAGAAAATCCTACGTAACAAATCTCAGGACCTCGTGTTTGTATTTCATTATAGTGACACAGGTCTTGCATTTTGGAACCAAACTCCTGGCCTTATAAGCATCACAAATGTTTCTACACCCTAATAAGTAATATATTATGGACAGACTCTAGCAATTTACAAAATAAATATGATTTAAATCTATGTTTTGAGAAGTCTAACTATAACCTTGTTAACCCCAAAATTCTTATTTTCACATCTCATCCGGTAACTATTCCCAATTGTTCTAGAAATCACATTGGTGTACTCATTTCCACCACTTTTTTTTTTTTTTTTAACTGACCTAGAGATCACAAAATAAAAATATTCTTTGGGAACCAACCCTATCAGACTGTCCCCAGAATAGGCGAAAGGCTGAAAAATAACCCCTAGGATGTGTCCAGGCTGTTCAGTCTTTTGTCTCTTAATGCTGAAGGCCACCTTGGCCATTTTGAAAGTGTACCCCAAACCTGGTCTTTCAGTGGTTTTCTAGTATTATCTTCAACTTGGACTAGGAAAAAGGAACGCAGCAATGCTGCCACCTTGGACACCCCACCATTTTCCTGAATCCTGAGCACCAGCACCCTCCTCATCTTCAGCTTAGCCTCTCATCCTCAAAATTCATTTCGCTCCATAGCGTCCTTACTCCTTTCCCAGTATACAGCAGAAAGACGGGGAACGATGGCTTCATCGGAGAATTAAATCAAGGACGTGCTATTCCTTTGCATGGTATATGTGGATTTTCCACTAACAGGCAGATTCTCTATTTCTTTTTTTTTTTTTTTTTTTT